ATAATAAAGTGTTCTATGAGTTAGAAAGTGTCTGGTGTGCTGCAGAATGTAACTTTCCCATTGGTTAAACATACAAGAGAAGACGGGGAAACATCAGCTAGATGCTGCTGTTGAGTCTAGCATTGCTCAGTCATGCGTGTCCACCTCTTGAAAGGGCTTATATAATTGTCCCAGTTGGTGGGACGGGGATCCAGCTAGCCAAGCCTGAGCTGCTGTCAGCGAGGCAAGAAGCACATTGATGCCAGAGAGCCAGCTAACAGCCTGTCGAAGCAGCCAATTATGACATCAGCTTGTGTCAGACGTCTAACAAGCACTGCKGATAATATTGTGAAGTTCCCTCAGGTTTATTAGGAGTTTGTCTCATTTAAACGTCTGGACYTAACAAACTGAAATTCTCAAAAAAATGACAATCTAAGAGTCTTTATGTGTAGGTGAATATATTTTATMCTCTGCAAAAAGCTGAGATAAGTGTCAGTATTAAGATACAGGGAAGTCCTAATTTTCTTAGAGTGCTCGCGAATCGTGAAAAAATGCAAATAATGGATGAGGTCCAGAAAAGGCCTACAGAAACAAAACAAGTGAGATTCCAAACTACTGTTTTACCGGTTTCTGTGATGTTACGAGGATTACTGCAAACTTAGGTTCTATGAAAATAATCTGCCACAGACTGAGTCTGCAAACTGTGAAACACAACTTTGTGGGGCTTTACTGTGGTACTTTGATTGTATTCTTCTTGTAAAGCCAGGCTCAAACAGAACGCCGTGCCTTTCACGTCCAGATGCAGCCTAGCTGTGAACAAAGTCAGTGCAAATACATGAGTGGGTGTGTGGAAAGACATTTTTCCTGGCTGGTACAAACTGAGGTCAAAAAGTTACTGCTGGAGATAAAATGCACATTTATCACATGAACTAAGAAGTCGACAAGTAACTGTTCCAAAACTTATAACAAAAAAAATACACACAGTGTACACACTAGAGTTAAATAACCCTAGAGTGAACCCTGCCTATCCTGTTCACAGTTAGCATCTGTGAAAACATGCAGGACAAAATGGTGACCATACAGGGTGTCAGCTCACAGCCATCATAGCAACTATTAGATTAACAGCAAGCTTAACTAGATCAGTTTTACAATTTTATTGATATTTTTACAATAAATTAATAGAATTGTTTATTATGTAAATTTTATTCAATAATCATGTAAAACCATTAGATACAAGAAAAARACCTAATTCTTAAGTAACAATGATCTAAACCAGACCTGAAGTCAGTCAARAACTRAGACTTTTTAGGTAGTTGAAAAATTATGTCTTCAACTAGTAATAAAATATTTATTATTTCCTACCTGCCATAAATGCCAGTACAGTAATGTTAAATCCAGACACTTCTACTTAGCATCATATTTTACAGTAGATCACACYGTCACATGGTCAAAACTCGCTCCAGCTGTTATACCTTATACCTCCATGCTGTACACTCCTTGACAAGGGCTAAATTAAAATTTAGCATTGAGTAAATTGACTGTGCAGAGCACGTGTCAAACACTTGGCCCGCAGGTGACTCCCCTGTGGCCCGCCAGGGGGAGTTTTTTTAACTTAGCATGAAATATGTTTCTTTTATCAATGGCAAACTTTAAATTTATGATTAAATGTAACAAAATAAATTTAATAAATTCCTGTCCCTGAGCTGTTGGCTTTAAGTAACTGAGCAATTTATTTGGATAGCACAGTATTAATGTCTGAAAATAAGCTGCTTAAAGTCAGCATCAACCATAAACTAAATAATATTTCTGTATTTATTTCAGATTTAGTCAGTCATATACTGTACTTAGTTCTTTTGAATGTTTAAAAGAGGATGTGTTAAAACACGGTTTAGTCAAAGTTAAACATGAAACGTCAAAGTTTATTACAACTGGCCCTTCGCGGGTCACCATAATGCTCATGTGGCCCTCYYTGAAAATGATTTTGACYCCCCTGGTTTAGAGGAAATACYGTTCAAGAATGGTACCGAGAATTCAATTTATTTTTTTGTAATATCATATCTTTTTTTTATTATGGTCATGTGGTTTACATACAGTATGTGCAGTCAGTATCTTATATGCCAGTATCTTACTAGACAGGGGTCAGTGTGATCGCTGAAGAATTTTTATTTGCACCAAGGTTGCAAGTTTTATGTGCAGGCAGCCTTAAATGGCATCTTGAATAGGTTTGATCTAAAACAATTCCAAGCTTCACACTTGGAACAACAAATTTTAATTTTCATGGTATTTGCTGTAATAATTCCTCAAAGTTGTGTGATGGTTAAAGATAATTGTTTATGGCCAGTTTTATAAATACCATTGAATCAAGGCACTATCAAATGATATTTTACATGTATATTTTTTTATCAAATTTTCATAATTTATTTATTTTGTTATGAATTAATGGGATCTTGGTTGATGTTGATGCTGCCATGATTATTGGTACCTTTCCCATACATTTGTACAAACTCTGTTACTGTATTGCTGTGTTTCTGTTATGATCATTGATTTCTGTCTTGTATTTTTTTTTATCTTTTCACATGCTTTCTTTAAACCGTCCACAAACTTAACGACGACCTTCTGTAATCTACTTTBCCCCGTCCCTTTCTCTACCCCGTCCACCCCCGATCCCTGGTCTCGACTACTTGCTGTGATTCTGCCCAATCAAAATGCACTATGAATCCTCTGTGCCCACCTCTGACAACTGGCTTGGTCAATCTGTCTGGTTGCTCTTCAAATCAAACAAAAACAAAATCTCTGCCATATGCMGCTAAACCATATCTGCAACATCCACATGTAGATGGTTTGTAATTATTTTATTTTATGTTAATTTTTGAGATCTTGTTTTGCTGCATGTATTTCACCTGCATTCTCGAGAAGTGTTCTGCCTGTGATTCGTGCATGTTGTGCTTGACTACATTCACCCACAACAGTCGTGCATCCTTTACTAAGAACTAACTATCAGTTTGTAAAGGATWAGACTCTAAAAACAGGTATACACTACACATATTCATTAAAATGAGCTCTTTCATTAAACAAGCTWACAATGTACACATAGTCGCCCACATGCTGGTAGTTTTYTTTATTTWTTTTTTCTGCCAGAGTCCAAGACTTTGCTCRTGGCAGAGAGAACAAGTGATGCATGATGACCATTGCATGTCTTTGGCAGGAACCCTTTATTTCCACGACACACACACATTCGTGCACACTGAACAAAGGAGTTGTACAATAAATAAAATGTGCATGAGCCTGTTTATTTTTAAGCTTCAAACTGCAGCGTTTTGTAGAAGAAAACTTATTGTATGCAAAGATTGTGCACAAGCAAATATTAAGCCAAAGTAGATAAATCAAAAAAGACTTTTCAGGTGCAAAAAAAAATTTAACTGTGTGTAAGCAATACAATTGGCCTGAGAACTTTAAATGTTACTCCACAGGTTTAGACTGGCTGTTGTTGATTGTAACCGTGCTACAATGTGTCCTACTGTTGCATGAGCTGCTGTTGAACTGCATGTTTGCATCTGCATGACGTGGACTTGCTGCATCTCAAAAAAAAACTGCATCTTTGACTTGAGAGAATCAGTGCATTTGATTGTCTTTTTAAGGAAATGTCCTGGGAATCCTGCATTCAAAAATTCACCTTTTCACTGTTACTAATATTAGATATACTGTATATACCCCCTGATTGGATGAAACTAGTTAGAGCTGGATGTTTCTCCCCTCTGTGTTGCATTGTTTGGTTCTGTCTGACCTACTGGATATGAAAAGCTTGTTGGAGCCTTGCTGACTTGTATTTGCATTGACTCGTTTGACTCTTGATTATTTCATTTTTATTGACTCAATCTGCATCAGTTTGATTGTTTTTTTTCCCTTCATGTTCTGTTTGTTTTGGATACATTGTTTGCACAAATTGCAGTGCCACTAACTACTTTCTCATTTCATTCCAACCCCCAAATCTTCATTCTCCTCCTCTGTCACCTCCTTCTATTTTTTGTTTTCTCTCACATCTTTCCTATCTTCAACTTCTCCATCTGTCTTTCTCTCTGGTCATGATGTTCCTGTGCTTTAGGATAATTTCATCAACCTGAGTTTCCTGAGGCTGTTCAGGGCTGCTCGTCTTATCAAGCTGCTCAGGCAGGGAGAAACCATTCGCATCCTGCTCTGGACCTTCGTTCAGTCTTTCAAGGTTTACTCCCAATTACACAGCCTAACACATACTAAAATTATAGGCATACAGCAGGCTATAAATGTAATCTTTCTGTTTTGTTGCCTTGAAGTGTAGAATTTAGGTGGATTTTTATTGTGACCTTTCAAATTAACCAAGTTAAATGGGGAAATGGTTTAAATACTGTATCTTAAAATGTATCAAACTGAAAAGTGGTTCATGAGGAATATTACCCCCAAACTCCCATGCTACCACCATCTATTGATCCATTTTCCCTTTAACCAGTTTCCCAATCCCTGCTGTTGAAAAAACTCCACACAGCATGATGCTGCCCCCGTCATGCTCCACCGTATTGATCCTGTTTTCAGCATGATGAGAGGTATTAAGCTGGAACCAGACACGGTAGAGAAAAAAAATTCCAAGCATCCTGCTTTATTTAACATCAATCATTTGAAATGTTTTTTATAGAAATATTTACTTATAATCAAATAAAAAAAACATCTAATGAAATTCCATGTAGGTAGAAACCAAAGCAACAAAATACAAAGAATACTAAGGGGGGTTATACTTTTTGCAACCCACTGTAAAACTTGGCTCTGGCCAAATACCAAACAACAAATGTGTCTCTCCTCAGGCGCTACCTTATGTCTGCCTTCTCATCGCCATGCTGTTTTTCATCTACGCCATCATCGGGATGCAGGTGGGTGTGTGAGCCTTGACCTCAGATTTCCTACCGTGCTTTCAGGATGCATTAAATAGATTTATTCAAGTGTAAAGATAGGATGAAGAGACTTCAGAGGAAGTGTATGAGGAGAGCATCTCTTTGTTAAACATCTTAAAGGTGCTGATTGCAAACTAGGAAATCAAACATAAAAAAGTTATRKTGGACTGTATCAAATTGMGCAGTTTGAARGGGTTTACTCCAGTAGTTTTCCAGATYTACTGTTATGCAATTATGGACTGAATTCAGTCTAAACATGGCGCTCACCTGATTCTACCAAAAACAGTGTAAAAACTTGAGTCTCGTAATTGTGTTTAGGCTGTATATAACCTGTGTAGAAACATAAATGTGGTGGAACCAGACAATTAGAGAACCAAGGAGGAGACATTTAGGTGGAAATGGAAAGTTTAATGATAAAAGTTATAATTTAATAAAGAAATAATTATTAAAAAGTAAGATCTCAAGCAGGGCAGTGAGGCACCATAAAGACAAAACTTGATTTTCAAATAAACTTGGCTTTTGCGAAACTTCTGTCAAACCAGTAAGTTTATCAWTTCAACAGTTTTTTCGACTCCAGTCAAATGCTCAAAATGTTTACAACCAAAATCCTTATTWTCAAATGTTGCCTAAATTCTTACTAATTTAATTTAAGAACACACTAACCACTAAAGAAATTGTTTGTTTTTTTATATTCTGTACTGGTCTTTATGACATTGCAATGAGTATTGTTTAAASTGTATTTATGTTTGGTTGTTTTCATTTTGGTGATAATGGTATGATTTTGTGTGACAGCTATTTGGTAATATTGCAACCGAAAAAGATGGAGAGAGCGCCATCAATGAGCACAACAACTTCAAGACCTTTGTACAGGCTTTGATGCTCCTCTTTAGGTGACTATTTAAGTTTTTAAACCCTCCATGAGAATAAGTGAATATTCAAATACTCCATGCATTACAACTTTAGAAGCACTTGTTCTGGGAAGTTTTATATATTTCATTTCAGTAAATGAATTTTTTGTGTGTGTTTTTGAAGGAGTGCCACAGGAGAGGCATGGCATGATATCATGCTGGCGTGTTTGGGGGGTAAGGTGTGTGACCCCCTGTCAGGGAATACAGAGCCAGAGTGTGGCAGCCAGGTTGCCTATCTCTACTTTGTCTCCTTCATCTTCTTCTGTTCGTTTTTGGTGAGCATTTCGTCCACATCTTTTCATTACCTTGTCAGTTTCAAAAAACAAAACAAAAAAATAAATATATACTTAAACCATACAAAATATACATATCAAGTTACACTCTAAATTATTAGTGCAAGTAATTAGTGTTGTTGTTTGTTACTTTACCCCTTCTATATTTTGTGTACGCACATGTGTGTAGATGCTGAATCTGTTTGTAGCCGTCATCATGGACAACTTTGAGTACCTAACTAGAGATTCATCCATTCTGGGACCCCATCACCTGGATGAGTATGTAAGGATATGGGCCGAGTATGATCCTGCTGCATGGTGAGTCCCAACAGCAAATAAAGACACATATAAATAAATAAATAAATAAATAAATAAATAAATAAATAAATAAATAAATAAACATCTCACAAACAACTGCAATTCTTCTTTACAATAGTAAAAAACGACTGTAATTACTAGGATTATTTACAACCTAAAATTCAAATTTCTTTGATGTTTTGTTGTATATTTTTGTGGTAGTTTTTTTTCTTACACAGAGACAAAAATGTTTCCCTTTGGTAAACATCAGCACATTCATTTAATTTTCTTTAAAGACAATTTGACAAACAAATAATACAAAAATAAATAAAACAACTGGTCCGTTTAAGGTTTAGCCAGTTATAACAAAGTAAAGCTCTAGCCAAACAGCTGCAAGGGGGTTGTGCTGGTTCTGAGTATACCCTTATGGGGTTATCTCTGTCATACTGTGCAACCCCTCTTTTTTCTCTCCTTTCCTCCACTCTCCTAAGAAATTCTTTATATATTCCTGTACCCTTTTTGTTCCTCCTCCTCTGGAATCGGTATACTGGCAAAAAACTTACAGTGGCAACGTCTACACTCCTGGCAAAATCCCTCTTTAATGTATGTTTTTACTGTAGACATGCAAAGTTTCATGGTATCTGWATTCCAGAACCTGTGTGTTGCCCTTCTGCTYTCCTTTAAAAATGATTTTAAAGGGGGTAGAATAAGGCAGGGCCAGCCCGTAGCATAGGCAGTATAGGCAAACGCTGAGGACGCTGTCCAGATAGGGGGTACCCCAAATGGGGAAGAAAATAAATATTTTATAACTTTTTATCCTACAGTTGTTTTAGTCCGTAGCATAATTACTGGTTACGCAGGTTTATGAAACTAATTTGTTCTGTGGGTTTCTCAGCCTGCTTTGTTACTACTGGAGGTGTTATTTGGTGCAGAGGATATTTCATGATAGAAGTATCATATGATACAGTCAAGATAAACTACTGGTGTTCAGAGTGTGAAAAGAAAACAAAAAAAYGTATAATGGAAGTTTCAGTTCTTGTCTCAGATAAAGCTCATGTTAAAGTCTGGTTTTCAGTGTTCCACCTTCACAAATACTGATTTTCTGTTGTTTTGTTGATCCCAAAAATTTAGTAAAATGATCTTCAAATGGCTGGAAAAACACAGTCTTGAGTAGATATTTTACAAAAGTTTCCAGCCCCTAGAACTGCTTCACTCCACAGCTGCTCTTTAACATGAACAAGTGTTGCTCATTGCTGTCAGCAGATGTTGGCAGGAATGAGGTAGACTTCTGGGAACTGTATTGTTAGCTATTTCAATTGGAAAGCCTGGTTTCTAAAGATAAAAATAATATCAAAGAAAAAACTATTTAGTTTGGTATGTGAATGTATTATTGTATTTTATATATTAATGAACATAGGTAAATTGACAGTGAGGTTTAAAGAATTGCACAAGGGACCTCACCTGAAATTTMGCTTTGGGCACCAAATCGGCTGGGACTGGCCCTGGGATAAAGGGGAGGGAAAATGGCCTAATTTGCAGGAAATATTTAAAACACTATCTTAAGGGTTTAGCACCAATATTGTAGCTGGTTTTTGATTAAACATTATTTATATGTGTCAAAGAGGGAAAAAAATTGTATCGCACAGCTTAGAAAAGACAAACATGCAGAGGAAGCACAACAGGAAACAAAGACGGAACATATGTTTAAAAGGGAGGGAAACGACACTTCACAAGCAGCTATTAAGCAATTACTAAACACACTGTAGCTTGTGTGTTTGCTCCTAATTTGTATTGTTTCATAAATTAGGTTTTAAAAAAAAGAAAAGGGGTGTTGATCTCAGGAAGAGGCAGTGTTTCAAAATAAACAAATGGGACTTATGAAAGAGGCGGACTGGCAGAACTAAGGGCCACATTTTACAGTGGTGATGTGGTTTGTGTTTATTCAATGTTTGTTTTTGAAGTGTTCCCAGATACAGTGTTCTTGTGCTCCTGCTCCCAATGTCCTATCTTCTTTCTAAATGTTTCTTTGGTTTATTTTTGTTTGATTTCCTGTTTGTGTGCATTTTTTTAACTCCCCTGTATTCTTCTTGCAGCGGGCGCATACATTATAAGGACATGTACAGTTTATTACGAGTTATCGACCCGCCTCTTGGCTTAGGCAAGAAATGCCCTCATAGGGTGGCCTGCAAGGTTTGACTTCAACTCAAATGAAACCTCTTAACCACACTTGCTAGCCACAGCATCCAGGAATGGAAGGAATGCTGCTTTGTTTATTTATTTTTTGTTTTCTTTTCTTTAGTTATTTTTATTTTATTTTATTTTTTCATTTCAACCAACAACTTCTTTTCCACCATTATCAATTTTGCATTCTGGACTGCTGAGAGAATGTGCGGGACAATGCAGATGCCCAAAGAAGCATGTGAAATGCACAATCTGAAAACACATTAAGATGTTTTGCAACAATGTTAAATGGATCTTTTTTATTTCTTTTCTTTTTTAAATATATTTCTCTCTATTTTCTTTTTGCTCGCTGTGGAGCCATGGCTTTAATGTAGCAAGCTACGGTTGCCCACTGTAGTGTTGCATTGTTCTATAGTTTTTGGGGGGTTGGGGGGAAAGACAGAAACTGCATTGACACCCCTTCCTCTTCCTCCCCTCTCACATCAGAGCAGGAGCGGCTTGCTGCCTGCTGTCAAGCCCTGCCCTGCTCTCCTGTGAAAACACACACACACACATACACACACTTAAACTGAACACACACACAGACATGCAGAACTTTGGGTTTACCTGGCCAAAAACTCTGCTACTTTTATTATTTAGGTGAAGATGAGTTGCTCTTTGAAAGGAAAAGTATAATTAGTGAGTTTCTTGTTGTTGTTTTTTTTTGTTTTTTTTTTGTTTTGTTTTGTTTTGTTTTTGTCCAGTCTTTTGAAAGAACTTGCTTCACTAATTAAGGGGAAATAAAGTTGTATTTGTACAAGTTTGGCACCTGGTGGTGTATTTTATCATGTTCACCACATGAGAGGGCAGTTCAAAAGTGTAATTATGACCCTTTTGGCTTTCCGTTTATCCACCTATGGCTGTCAATTGAAACATTTGGAAATTCAAGTCAAAAGAGGAGCTGCACTAGTTTGATAATATTTAATATAAATTATGTTGTTGTTGTTTTTATCTGTGGCACATTAGAACATTAGCTATGCTTACATGGATGTAAGTAATTGTAATAATCATCCAATTGGAATAAAAATGAGTCATGTACCGTATTTATTCAAGTATAATACGTAAAATTTAATCCATAAAATCATCCATAAAGTTGGGGGGTAATATTATACTTGGATAAATATTTTTACTTATGTATTTTAATTTAAATATCGGCAAAATGCCTGAGTCCGGAAATGACACCGTGTTATAAAAAGCAGCTGAAACGAGCTCACCTGTGACACTCCTCCGTGCTTCAGAGTGAGATAATAACAGATCCAAGCAGGCGACATGATGTGAACAAAAAGAAAAAAAAGGCAGTCCTTCACCTTAGTAATGATAACGAACTAATGACATTAGCGTGTGACCGAGCCACTCCTGGAACAACAACAAACACATGTCCGTCTGTAATGGCTGCCGTCTACCGGTGTTCTGAAAAATTTTGAATCTCTGAAAAAAGTTTCCCCACCAGAGGGAGCACACGTGAGTAGGAAGTAATCTGCTTTTCCCTCACAAGATGGCCCAAATCTCATGTGATGTATCTGACTTTTGTGTTGGCGCATCCTGGTGGACTATGTGTAAAATGCATATGATGCTGCTACAGCTGATATATATTTGTTGTTAAAATACCTTTTAGTACATATGTTGTTAAAATAAAACGAACAGTCTAATGATCATTTTACTGATATGTATAAAGACTGCAAAGGCTGAAAAATCTTGAAATCTGTATGAAATTGGACATAGTTTGAGGATTAAACTTTTTATGCTTTTTAAGCTCAAAAAACGGGGGGTCGTATTATACATGAGATCGTATTATACATGAATAAATACGGTAAATGCTCCAATCAGAACAATCAAAATGAATTTGTAATTCGAATGAGAGAGGTAGTTTATGCTGATTGACAAGCCGAATGGCGTTCATTTAATCACTTATTTGGATTATGCTGATTGTGGAAAACTGACGTGACTACGCATGTGCGCCCTATGTCATCCTGATGTCGTTTTGCCTGGCTAGATGCTAATATGTCGGGGAAGCAAAGCTGGTGGGTTAGTGATACAACATTTCTGTTAGAAACTTTGAAAGAGCTCAAAATGATCAAACGCCTTGAAGGTCGAGAGTGTAGGAGCACGGAGTAACATCAATAATGAGTTTAATTTGMAACACATTTTCATTGCCAAAAATCTCAAAATGTTACAAAACAGCAAAACGCACAGTAAATGCTAAAACTAAGAAAATAAAATAAAATAAAACTAAACTAAAGAACAATAAAATTACAGTCATAAAAACAACAGCCAGCACTGGAAAAAGGCTCGATTAGAATCAGTTATGCCTATTTTTGACCAAGAACCCAAACGTTTGCATTCTTCTGTACTGTTGCTTGCACCTATTTAAGTGCAAATCCTACAAGAAACACAATCAGATTTCAATGCGGAGCTTTGTCTTAGTGTCGCCCTCATTTTCTACTTTTTTTCTGCCATTAAAAAAGAAAAAAAATATTGCACCTCAGAAAATCGCTCCACTTGCCCAGAATCTCTAAATCAGCCCAGTAACACTGTCGTTCTGCTTTTTCAAATTTATTTATTTGATATGATTTTTGCCCCCTCTTTCTTTCACTTGGATCCTTCTAATCAACTCTCTACTTTAACTACTTCTACTTTCTGCCTCTGTCTCTCTTTTTTCGACTTTGGTAACTGGGTGGTGGCTCTGGCAGTGGCAGGATCAGTTGCAGGGAAATGTATGACATGCTGAGGCACATGAGTCCTCCTCTGGGCCTCGGGAAGAGGTGTCCAGCTCGGGTGGCCTACAAGGTCAGAAAGGCCCCCATCTTTACCTAAGCCTTCTATGGGGTGTCGTCGGGATTTGGGTGGAGAGGGGAGGTCTTAAAGGTGGGGAGGGACAGAGGGTTGAAGCGCTCAACGTGGTGTAAACTTTAGTGTCATTGTTCCTTTTGGTTCTGTTTCTGTTTCTTTTTTTGTMGAAAGTTGGGGTGGGGCTGGTCGGTGTTGTGGCCTTGTGTGGTGGTGTGGATTTGGTGGGCGAAGGAAGCAAGACAGTTAGAATGAAGGGTTCATGGAGGGGGGTGGGGGGGCATCCACAGGAGGGAACGAAGACGAGGGACCTTCTCAGCTCGTTTGCGCTGGATCCACGAGCTCACAACACGTAGAAGCCGAACACGTCACGACGAAGAGTGTTTTCTCTCTGCATTCTGTCACTAGAGGGATAGTAATCTGACTGTTGCAGCTCACTGCTGAGCAAACACTCTCTCATGCAGCAGCAGGCACGTGCAACAGGGCTTGGAAGGTCCGCCAGACTTATGTCCTCCGACTCGTTCCTCCCTGTGGATGAAGCAGACACGCAAACACACGCACACAAACACGCAGAGAATTGGGTCACATCAACCCCACACATAGAGATCACTGTTATTCCTCATGGTAGAGAGAGCAGAAGGACTTGTGTCAGTGATGTGTTTCCTTCAGAGAGCCTTTGGATGCCATACAGAAGCCGTTCTTTCTCTGTCACCCTTCATGTAGCAGCTCCAAGCCCCCCCGGGCAAGCCTCTTTCTATCTGCAAGTCCAATCTTCTCTTCGTCCTTTGGTTCTGTCGTCAATGCAGTTCTATTCTGTTTCCAGCCCCCTTCATCTCTGCATATTGCTGCTCCCCTTCCCCCACACATATACGCTCCTTCACCTGCCTTTCTGCACGGCTGATGACCACCACCTCCTCCTCCTCTTCCCTTTCTGTCTGTCAAACACCATACAAACACAAAGAACCTCACATTAGGTACTTTGCAAGATAGACACATACAGAGGGATAATTACATTTATGTAAGCGCTTTTCCTGTTACTCCTCTTGTGATCAGCTCTCATGAGAAATCATTGGCAGATCACTGGAACCCTCAGGGGGGGCAGCCAGCCAAACAGCCTGTAGGCACGAGAGACCATTTCATTCCCATCAACCGCTTTATCCAACCCTACCTTCCTTCTCCAACACACTTGGGGCAAATAGTAATGACGTTTTATTTTATTTACAGTTGCATCTTGAATGGGGCCTAATTGTAATTATGAGTGCGTCAGTTTTATATTAATGTATTTTCCATAGATTTTGGACTAAAAGTTTAAAATTATTGTTTATATGAGAACTAATATAAATTATTAGCTAATTGGACAAAAAATCAGTTTGCAGTTACTGTTTGACCCATTTTTAAAGGCAATTCAATTATTTCCAAGTGGGGTTCTGTGGAAAGGTTATATTCAACTTCAGAATGATGTAATTTTTTATTATTGTTTTTTATTGCACAGTTCTTTACAAATAATCCTGTGTATTTAAAAGTGGCAGCAGCAGTGAGAAGTAGCATTTCTGGTGCTACTTGGTGTACTTTCCTCAGGAATATCATAATAATTCTGCAAAAATAGCTGTGTAATGTAAACTTATTGGTGGTGTWAAGGTTTATAAAACKGCATCRGTTTGAGCCTGTATGAAATCMTTAGACTGTYTGGCAGCAATCTACTTTGGTCTTGGCCACTAGCTTATCAACCCTGTCAGTTTACGGCAAATTGGAAGAGAAATAAGACCAAACTGCTACTAAAAAAACGTCACATCTTAGTAATTTTATAGTGGTTTTTYCAAATGCTGTTTTACAAATTGTTACATCACTGRCAAATTTGTTTTACAAGGTTCCTTTGGCAGGAATTTACCAGGAAAGAAAAAAAAAACTAGCAACTGTAACCTATAGTTATGCTMACAAATAATATTTTACTTCTATGTAAGCAACCATGTTGCACAAAATTGATGTGATCTAAAGATTTATAACATATTTTACATGAATCACTATGGCAATTCTGAAATTGCAGCTGTTTTAATTAACCCCACTGGTCCACTCTGACCAGTGGTTAGCTTATCAGTCAGCTCAAATTTATTTATGTTTTTCTAAATTGAGGCCTTTATATCTTAAGATAAGGCACTAATTGTTCATAAACTTGCTACAGAACCCCCTTTGAAATATCAGAATTGTTGCTTAAAGCTCTTCCTACATATTTTCCCTTTAAAAAATGTGACCTTTTAATTTTAATACCACCCTCTGACAACATACCTCCTCCCATCAGAGGCACCTTCTCTTATTTTCCTTCTACTTTTATCCTTTCAAAKTTAAGCCTCCTTCCTGAAGCTAAAAAAAAATGAATAAATAACCTTCAGTACATGTAYCATGCTATTCATGCATGGGTTAACACAGTAATACATCCCTTGATTATTATTACTGGAATATTTCTTTCTAGAAAGCCTTCATCGGTTTGTATGTGAGCACCCTTTCTAAGGAGAGAGATCCYAATCTTACCTTTCTCCTCCAGTCCAGACAACGATCCACCTCTGCTGCTTTTGTCTCTTGAACTTCTCTGTCRTGAAGAGAGGCAGCAGAGCCTTCAGGCAGGACTGCTTTTACACAGCCAGCTAAGAATGGCGATCTTTATTTCATTTTCATATTTTTTTTTAGCTTTGCTTGGTTTTCTATTGGTTTATCTGTTTTGTTTTGATCACTTTTACTCTTCAAATGTCCAAACTRTGAGTACTGATTTCTAGTTTTCTATCAGCTCTCCCCCTTCAGCTTTCCATTTCATTCCTTATGTTTTTTTTTCTCCGCACTGCATATTCTTTACATGTGACATGTTTGAGTTACTTGATAAGTTACGCCTCTTAACACCAAAATAACTCAGCCATGGTGAGCTTCATACTTTCTTTTCCTATTTCTGCAAAACACTGCTCTCTCTCACCTATTAACCTCTCTGAACCTTTACCCATTTTTTGACAGATGCTAGAGTTAAAAATAAACAACCTAGCAGCGCAGCAAATTGCTTCGCCATTTTAGCGTAGCCACATCAGGGTTTCTTATGGCCTCACAATAATAACCACAATAAACTCAACTCACAAACTCATTTCAGTGTCGCCAACAGAGAATCCGTTCTGTGTGCAGCTGCARAGCTGCTTGTCCTGTGAGACATTTTGTGTGCGCACTGCATGCTGCATGGCCGAGTACAGAATGTGCAAGAAGGACTTGAGGGGGAAAGATGGATAAATCAGAATGTCGGGAGGGTGGGGTTGCATGGTGCATGTGAAGGGTGGTCGCCGGTTCTGCTTGTCGTCTTTTGTCACCAAACACATGCCAGCATCATGCCGTGAGTTGGTGTGTCTCTGTTTGAGTTGTCTTGTTTTACTACAAGTCAYCAGGACCTACAAAGGATCAAACCAATAAATTAAAAATATTCCCACCGAAAAGTGTTTTGCTGTCTTCGAACAGTTCACTGTTTCGTTTTGGTTTATTGGTTTATCATCTGGTCTCTGTTGCTTTTAATGTGAACCTCCAAACCCTCTAYTAGGAGCTCTGGATGACAGTAGCCACTGCTCAGCCTGTCCTGCTGTTTCTTTATTAAACACATAATTCAGATATTCTTAAGTGGGGTTTTTGTGAAAAGGTTAACAATTAACATCTGTTYTAGATAGCTGTTTGAGTGACCAGGCTTATGAGCTAACAGCTAATTCGAGTGAAGCCAAGAGCAAAGTGGTTTTGAAAACAACTCCAATCACATAATATAATAATYATAATTTCATATAGTTTTTGTGAAGGTAAAAAAATACCTTTCACTGCCACATCATGTAATTTATAAAGAATCCTGCAATTCATTCTGGTCTTGGCCCTACACAACTAGCTGTTAGTTTGCTCATTTGCTCAGAATTGACTTTGTTTTCCCAAACAGGTAAGATATTAAATGTTCATAATCTTTCCACAGAACCCCATGTTCAAAAGATTTAAACGATTTAAGTGTCATGTTAGGCCAATCTGTGAGGATTTGGATTAAATAATAACACAGTGGCATTAACAACCAAATGAAGGATAGAGCTGTGATCTTTTCAGATCATGAAAAATAAAACATGTGAATGTAAGAATTTTATTTTATTTTTTACAAATCTGAGGTTTTACCAGCAGACAGGCAGCATCCGTGTCTGCTGTTCAGTGCCATGCACAGCTCCTCCTGTTTCAAACCTGTCCCTCACC